AAAATATCTGTATCTGCATCTTGATACAGATTATTTTGTATCTGCATCTTGATACAGATATTTTGTATCTGCATCTTGATACAGATATTTTGTATCTGCATCTTGATACAGATATTTTGTATCTGCATCTGATACAGATATTTTGTAATTGCATCTTGATACAGATATTTTGTATCTGCATCTTGATATCTGCATCTTGATACAGATATTTTGTATCTGCATCTTGATATCTGCATCTTGATACAGATATTTGTATCTGCATCTTGATACAGATATTTTGTATCTGCATCTTGATACAGATATTTTGTATCTGCATCTTGATATCTGCATCTTGATACAGATATTTTGTATCTGCATCTTGATACAGATATTTTGTATCTGCATCTTGATATCTGCATCTTGATACATATATTTTGTATCTGCATCTTGATATCTGCATCTTGATACAGATATTTTGTATCTGCATCTTAATATCTGCATCTTGATACAGATATTTTGTATCTGCATCTTGATATCTGCATCTTGATACAGATATTTTGTATCTGCATCTTGATACAGATATTTTGTATCTGCATCTTGATACAGATATTTTGTATCTGCATCTTGATACAGATATTTTGTATCTGCATCTTGATACAGATATTTTGTATCTGCATCTTAATATCTGCATCTTGATACAGATATTTTGTATCTGCATCTTGATACAGATATTTTGTATCTGCATCTTGATACAGATATTTTGTATCTGCATCTTAATATCTGCATCTTGATACAGATATTTTGTATCTGCATCTTGATACAGATATTTTGTATCTGCATCTTGATACAGATATTTTGTATCTGCATCTTAATATCTGCATCTTGATACAGATATTTTGTATCTGCATCTTGATACAGATATTTTGTATCTGCATCTTGATACAGATATTTTGTATCTGCATCTTGATATCTGCATCTTGATACGGATATTTTGTATCTGCATCTTGATACAGATATTTTGTATCTGCATCTTGATATCTGCATCTTGATACAGATATTTTGTATCTGCATCTTAATATCTGCATCTTGATACAGATATTTTGTATCTGCATCTTGATACAGATATTTTGTATCTGCATCTTAATATCTGCATCTTGATACAGATATTTTGTATCTGCATCTTGATACAGATATTTTGCATCTGTATCTTGATATCTGCATCTTGATACATATATTTTGTATCTGCATCTTGATATCTGCATCTTGATACAGATATTTTGTATCTGCATCTTAATATCTGCATCTTGATACAGATATTTTGTATCTGCATCTTGATACAGATATTTTGTATCTGCATCTTGATACAGATATTTTGTATCTGCATCTTAATATCTGCATCTTGATACAGATATTTTGTATCTGCATCTTGATACAAATATTTTGTATCTGCATCTTGATACAGATATTTTGTATCTGCATCTTAATATCTGCATCTTGATACAGATATTTTGTATCTGCATCTTGATACAGATATTTTGTATCTGCATCTTGATACAGATATTTTGTATCTGCATCTTAATATCTGCATCTTGATACAGATATTTTGTATCTGCATCTTGATACAGATATTTTGTATCTGCATCTTGATACAGATATTTTGTATCTGCATCTTGATATCTGCATCTTGATACGGATATTTTGTATCTGCATCTTGATACAGATATTTTGTATCTGCATCTTGATATCGCATCTTGATACAGATATTTTGTATCTGCATCTTAATATCTGCATCTTGATACAGATATTTTGTATCTGCATCTTGATACAGATATTTTGTATCTGCATCTTAATATCTGCATCTTGATACAGATATTTTGTATCTGCATCTTGATACAGATATTTTGTATCTGCATCTTGATACAGATATTTTGTATCTGCATCTTGATACAGATATTTTGTATCTGCATCTTGATACAGATATTTTGTATCTGCATCTTGATACAGATATTTTGTATCTGCATCTTGATACAGATATTTTGTATCTGCATCTTGATATCTGCATCTTGATACGGATATTTTGTATCTGCATCTTGATATCTGCATCTTGATACAGATATTTTGTATCTGCATCTTGATATCTGCATCTTGATACAGATATTTTGTATCTGCATCTTAATATCTGCATCTTGATACAGATATTTTGTATCTGCATCTTGATACAGATATTTTGTATCTGCATCTTGATACAGATATTTTGTATCTGCATCTTGATACGGATATTTTGTATCTGCATCTTGATACAGATATTTTGTATCTGCATCTTGATATCTGCATCTTGATATAGATATTTTGTATCTGCATCTTAATATCTGCATCTTGATACAGATATTTTGTATCTGCATCTTGATACAGATATTTTGTATCTGCATCTTAATATCTGCATCTTGATACAGATATTTTGTATCTGCATCTTGATACAGATATTTTGTATCTGTATCTTGATATCTGCATCTTGATACATATATTTTGTATCTGCATCTTGATATCTGCATCTTGATACAGATATTTTGTATCTGCATCTTAATATCTGCATCTTGATACAGATATTTTGTATCTGCATCTTGATACAGATATTTTGTATCTGCATCTTGATACAGATATTTTGTATCTGCATCTTAATATCTGCATCTTGATACAGATATTTTGTATCTGCATCTTGATACAGATATTTTGTATCTGCATCTTGATACAGATATTTTGTATCTGCATCTTAATATCTGCATCTTGATACAGATATTTTGTATCTGCATCTTGATACAGATATTTTGTATCTGCATCTTGATACAGATATTTGTATCTGCATCTTAATATCTGCATCTTGATACAGATATTTTGTATCTGCATCTTGATACAGATATTTGTATCTGCATCTTGATACAGATATTTTGTATCTGCATCTTGATACAGATATTTTGTATCTGCATCTTGATACAGATATTTTGTATCTGCATCTTGATACAGATATTTTGTATCTGCATCTTGATACAGATATTTTGTATCTGCATCTTGATATCTGCATCTTGATACGGATATTTTGTATCTGCATCTTGATATCTGCATCTTGATACAGATATTTTGTATCTGCATCTTGATATCTGCATCTTGATACAGATATTTTGTATCTGCATCTTAATATCTGCATCTTGATACAGATATTTTGTATCTGCATCTTGATACAGATATTTTGTATCTGCATCTTGATACAGATATTTTGCTATGACAGTTCCACCTGAAGACGGAAGCTTGTTTTGCCTCTGAAACCTCGTGGTTTTATTGTTTTTATTTTTTATTTTATTTTATTAATTTCATTTTTTTACCCACGTGACTTTACCGAAAGAACTAAGAGTAAGCCCCCATACAATTTCATATTTCGCACAAAAGACAAAGGTTCTCTCCCCCCGGTATAGCCTCAATAGGCTGTCAGGGGCAAGTGCTGTTAGTAGCGAGTAGCAGCAGCAGCAGCGCCTATGAAGGCCGGCACACCACGTGACACGCAGAGGGGTGTGGGTTGTATGGCCAGCACCACGCCCGGCCGCCTTTGTCTCCCTAGCGGCGATGTTTCCACACCGCACCGCTACACCGGGTGCTCGTTTGAGGCCGAGCCGACCTAGGGGAGGCCCAGGACCGGTTCAGGCAAATCGTCGCCGGTATCGGAATCGAACTCGGCTTCGCTGCCGTGTGTCTCCCCCCTGGCGCTAACCGCGGCGCCACCGCTCCCCCACACGCACACGCAGCGCCCAGCTAACACATTTGAGGCCGAGCGGACCTAGGGGAGAGCCGCCACAAACCACTGCGTCACCGCCCAACATCGACACGTACACAGACACGCAGCAAACAACGATGATGACGATGACGACGACGATGATGACGTGTGGTACATGTGCATAACATGCGACTGCTTTGTCCACGTCTGAGCGAGAAGTTGCGCAATGGGGGGGCGAGGGGAGGAGGGGGGAGGGGGGCGGGGCTTGGCCCCTCACCCACTCTACAGGGAAACGGACCAGGAGACCACTACCCCCTCCACCTCCTCCTCCACCCCCCCACCACCCTCCCCCCCTCCCCCCTCCCTCCACTACACCTCCCCCCTCCCTCCCCTCCTACCCCCCTCCCCCCCGCCCCTCCCCCCCACCCCTCCCCCCTCCCCCCACCCCCTCCCCCCCTCCCCTCCCCCCACCCCCCCACTCTACAGGTAGACGGACCAGTAGACCACGTTAAAGAAAAGGAACGAGAGCGGGAAGAGCGCCCGGGCGTAGTGGTCCACTCCCCCCACCCCCCCCCTCCTCCTCCTCCCCCTTCCACCCCCCCTCCCCCCTCTCTCCCCCCTCCCCCCACCCCCCCTCCCCCCTCCCCCCCTCCCCCCTCCCCCCACCCCCCCACCCCCTCCCCCCACACCTCTACAGGTAGACGGACCAGTAGACCACATTAAAGAAAAGAAACGAGAGCGGGAAGAGCGCCCATTAAGTAGTGGTCCACTCCCCTACACCTCCCCCCTCTCTCCCCTCCTCCACTACACCTCCCCCCTCCCTCCACTACACCTCCCCCCTCCCTCCACTACACCTCCCCCCTCCCTCCACTACACCTCCCCCCTCCCTCCACTACACCTCCCCCCTCCCTCCACTACACCTCCCCCCTCCCTCCCCCCTCCCTCCCCTCCTCCCCCCCCCCTCCACCTCCCCCCCCCCTCCACCTCCCCCCTCCACCTCCCTCCCCTCCCTCCCCTCCCTCCCCCACTCCCCCCTCCTCCTCCCCCCACACCCTCCTCCCCCACTCCCCCCTCCTACCTCCCTCCCCCCTCCCTCCCCTCCACCTCCCCCCTCCCCTCCACCTCCTCCACCTCTCCTCCTCCACCTCCCCCCTTCCCTCCCCTCCTCCCCCTCCACCTCCCTCCCCTCCCTCCCCTCCTCCCCCCTCCCCCCTCCCCCCCCTCCCCCCACCTCCCCCCACCCCCACCCCCCACCACTCTACAGGTAGACGGACCAGTAGACTACATTAAAGAACAGAAACGACAGCGGGAACAGCGCCCGGGCGTAGTGGTCCACGCGTTTCGCCTCCGACGGGATGATCGGCTTGGCAGGGGGGGGCTTCTTGGGGGCCCCCCCCCCGGCGCCCCCCCCGCCGGCGGCGTTGCCCCCCGCGCCGGCGGGGCCCAGGGCGCCCCCCCCCACGGGCTTGCCGTAGCAGTCGTAGTTGGTGAGGTCGAAGTCACGTGGCAGGCTGCCTACGATGCTGAAGTCGTGGGCTCGCAGGTCGGAGCGAGACGGGAAGGCGCGGCGGGCGGCGGCCTGGAGGTGGGTGGGGGGTGGGGGGGTGGGGGGGAGGTGGGGGGGGAGGTGGGGGGGAGGTGGGGGGGTGGGGGGGAGGTGGGGGGTGGGGGGAGGTGGGGGGGAGGTGGGGTGGGGGGAGGTGGGGGGAGGTGGGGGGGGAGGTGATGGGGGGAGGTGGGGGGAGGTGGGGTGGGGGGAGGTGGGGGGAGGTGGGGGGGAGGGGGGAGGTGGGGGGGTGGGGGGAGGTGGGGAGGTGGGGGGAGGTGGGGTGGAGGGGGTGGGGGGAGGTGGGGGGGAGGTGGGGGGGGGGGACAGGGCGGTTTCTTCACTAGGGCGATTGGGCGACGCACCACCAATCTCATTCAAGCACAGAGTCACGCTAGCCGTCACTGTGCATCCTCTGGATATAGTCCAATCAGCGTCATGTCACGTTCTCTGGAGTACCGCCTCTTTTTAAATCCTTTATATTAAGTTCGCTTGCTTGCACGCTTACGACCGTGCAAATCTTTCGCTCGTTTTTTAACCCACTTCCCGTGATCCAATCGAGCTGACATTTTGCACACAGACTCGTTGTGCGTGACAATTAATGTTCGTGAAATTTTTTCTCCAAAATTTTACACTTTTTAGGGAAAACAAATTAAATATTTAATTACCAATTGCTTAATACTGGCAGACAATCATCTGACCCATAGGTGGCAGCCATCTCAAGCCAGAGGACGAGAGGACTCTAGCCGCCACGCATATAAAGGATTTATAGTGAAAAACTTTGTTTTTACGGGTTATACTTATTGAGCGATTTCACTCCGGCTGAGAATCGCCCCGAGTGTTCCCGTAGACTTACATTCAAAGATGTTTTTTTTCGAACGGGGGCGCTGCAATGCATTCTCTACGGCTTCCGGGAGGGCTCGCACTAGCGTGCTCACGTCATCATACGTGCTCACGTCATCACACGTAAGCACGTTTCAGTCGACAATATTACTTGTCGCCTTATTCTTTGGTTCTTTCGGTAAAGTCGCGTGTAAAGATAAAATAATAAATTAAATAATAGCATAATACGACGTTTCGATTGCAACACAAGCAATCATCATCAGGTATAATGAAATAGCGACATAGAAGATAACCAGAAAACTATAGACAGACATATAAGCAGACAGATATCACCAAGATACATAGAGAGAGAGTAACACAGGCACAGAGAGGGGTGATCGTCTCTGTGGGGTGGCCTTAAATAGGCAGAGGGAGGCAGAGAGAGGGAGGGGTTAGAGACAACATTTACATGTCAATGAGTACGAAGAGACGCGTTGTAAAGTACGCAGCCTCAGAGGGAGACAGAACACACGAAAGCTCCAAAATTAAGATTATTTGTCGCCACCTAGTGGAATGTTTAATAAAAGAAACTGAGTGGATTGTAATAATAGTGAGTATAGAAACAAACAAGATGTATCTTGGTTTTTTCGGTAAAGTCACGTAGAAGGGAAGTAATAAAATTAAAATAAAAAAAATTACTTCCCTTCTACGTGACGACTTTACCGAACAAACCAAGAAGATGAATCCCTGCAGTCACGAAAGCTTTAAATCGAAAAATAAAAACAAGATGTATTGTAAGAGTCACTTTATTTTTCATTCATATTAAAGAAGTGAAGTTGCCTTCACATGCTTAAGCTGTTAATTTATCCATTGCATGGGTGGACCTTATCCTTATCAATCATCCAAACATTTGCCCCCCCTGAGAGATTTTGGAGGTGGGGGAGGTGGGGGGCGGAAGGGATGGGGGTAGGAGGTGTGCCTTTTTTATAAAGTCCCATCACAAGTAACTCACTACATTTATTTTGCTGTATATAGTGTAGTGTATAGTGTAGTGTATAGTGTAGTGTATAGTGTAGTGTATAGTGTAGTGTAGTGTATAGTGCAGTGTATAGTGTAGTATATAGTGTAGTATATAGTGTAGTGTATAGTGTAGTATATAGTGTAGTATATAGTGTAGTGTATAGTGTAGTATATAGTGTAGTATATAGTGTAGTATATAGTGTAGTGTATAGTGTAGTATATAGTGTAGTATATAGTGTAGTGTATAGTGTAGTATATAGTGTAGTGTATAGTATATAGTGTATAGTGTAGTGTATAGTGTAGTGTATAGTGTAGTGTATAGTGTATAGTGTAGTGTATAGTGTAGTATATAGTGTATAGTGTAGTGTATAATATATAGTATAGTGTATAGTATATAGTGTAGTGTAGTATATAGTGTATAGTGTAGTGTATAGTGTAGTATATAGTGTATAGTGTAGTGTATAGTGTAGTGTATAGTGTAGTGTATAATGTAGACTGCTCCCGCTGACCCGAGCTGAGTTCCCATCGGGTGTCCCGTTGGCGGGTCCTCCCCGCAGCCTCCGTGTCGACACCGACCAAACCCGCTCCTCCGTCGTCCCGGGGGGCCCCCCACAGATCGCGGGGGGCCCCGGGGGCTGCGTGGCCCCCCCCGGGAGGGGGGCCGCTGCCGAGGGAGGGGGGGGCCCGCCCCCCACTCCGTGTGTGGGCCGAGGGCCCAGAGCCTCCATCTGTTCCTTCTTGAGCTTGGCCAGACGTTCCTTGCGGATCTTCTCGGCAGCGACGCGTTTCGGGCTGTTCACGAACACCTGGTGGTGGGGACGGTGATGGTGGTGATGGTGGTGGGGACATTGTGGTGATGGTGGTCACCGTGGTGGTGGTGGTGGGGGTGGTGATGGTGGTGTTGGTCACCGTGGTGATGGTGGTGGTGGTGGTGATGGGGGACATTGTGGTGGTGGTCACCGTGGTGGTGGTGGTGGGGGTGGTGATGGTGGTGTTGGTCACCGTGGTGATGGTGGTGGTGGTCACCATGGTGATGGTGGTGGTGATGGTGGTGGTGGTGATGGTGGTGATGATGGTGGTGATGATGGTGGTGGTGATGGTGGTGGTGGTGGTGATGGTGATGATGGTGGTGGTGATGGTGATGGTGGTGATGGTGGTCACGCTGGTGACGTGGTGAGTCACGTGGTGAGTGATGTGGTGTGTCACGTGGTGAGTGACTGAGTGAGTCACGTGGTGAGTCACGTGGTGAGTGACTGAGTGACTGAGTGACTGGGTGAGTGACTGAGTGAGTGACTGAGTGAGTCACGTGGTGGGTGACTGAGTGAGTGACTGAGTGACTGACTGAGTCACGTGGTGAGTGACTGAGTGACTGACTGAGTCACGTGGTGAGTGAGTGACTGAGTGAGTGAGTGACTGAGTGACTGAGTGAGTGACTGAGTGAGTGACTGAGTGACTGAGTGAGTGACTGAGTGAGTGACTGACTGAGTGACTGAGTGACTGACTGACTGAGTGACTGAGTGACTGAGTGACTGAGTGAGTGACTGAGTGAGTCACGTGGTGAGTGAGTGACTGAGTGAGTGACTAAGCCTCTCACCTGCACAATGGCGAACTCGACAAGAGAGGCGAATCCGAAGACGAGGCAGGCGATGAGCCAGATGTCCAGCGCCTTCACGTGGTGAGTCACGTGGTGAGTCACGTGGTGAGTGAGTCACGTGGTGAGTGACTGAGTGAGTGACTGAGTGAGTGAGTGACTGAGTGAGTGACTGAGTGACTGAGTGAGTGACTGAGTGAGTGACTGACTGAGTGAGTGAGTGACTGAGTGAGTGACTGAGTGACTGAGTGAGTGACTGAGTGACTGAGTGACTGAGTGAGTGAGTGACTGAGTGACTGAGTGAGTGACTGAGTGAGTGACTGAGTGAGTCACGTGGTGAGTGAGTGACTGAGTGAGTGACTAAGCCTCTCACCTGCACAATGGCGAACTCGACAAGAGATGCGAACCCGAACACGAGGCAGGCGATGAGCCAGATGTCCAGCGCCTTCACGTGGTGAGTCACGTGGTGAGTCACGTGGTGAGTGACTGAGTGAGTGACTGAGTGAGTGACTGACTGAGTGACTGACTGAGTGACTGAGTGAGTGACGTGGTGAATGAGTGACTGAGTGACTGACTGAGTCACGTGGTGAGTGACTAAGCCTCTCACCTGCACAATGGCGAACTCGACAAGAGATGCGAACCCGAAGACGAGGCAGGCGATGAGCCAGATGTCCAGCGCCTTCACGTATGACACTTTGGGCAGCTCAGCGGCCAGAGACATCGCCTGGGACGCCAGCGAGAGCACCGACAGGATGCCTGCAACATCATCAGCAGCAGCATCATCATAATCATCAGTGTCATCATCATCATCAGCGGCCAGAGACATCGCCTGGGACGCCAGCGAGAGCACCGACAGGATGCCTGCAACATCATCATCAGCAGCATCATCATAATCATCAGTGTCATCATCATCATCAGCGGCCAGAGACATCGCCTGGGACGCCAGCGAGAGCACCGACAGGATGCCTGCAACATCATCATCAGCAGCATCATCATAATCATCAGTGTCATCATCATCATCAGCGGCCAGAGACATCGCCTGGGACGCCAGCGAGAGCACCGACAGGATGCCTGCAACATCATCATCAGCAGCATCATCATAATCATCAGTGTCATCATCATCATCAGCGGCCAGAGACATCGCCTGGGACGCCAGCGAGAGCACCGACAGGATGCCTGCAACATCATCATCAGCAGCATCATCATAATCATCAGTGTCATCATCATCATCAGCGGCCAGAGACATCGCCTGTGATGCCAGCGAGAGCACCGACAGGATGCCTGCAACATCATCATCAGCAGCATCATCATAATCATCAGTGTCATCATCATCATCAGCGGCCAGAGACATCGCCTGGGACGCCAGCGAGAGCACCGACAGGATGCCTGCAGCGGTATCATCATCATCAGCAGCAGTGTCATCAGCAGTGTCATCAGCAGTGTCATCAGCAGTGTCATCATCATCAGCAGTGTCATCAGCAGTGTCATCAGCAGTGTCATCATCATCATCAGCAGCAGTGCCATCAGCATCATCAGCAGCAGTGTCATCAGCAGTGTCATCAGCAGTGTCATCAGCAGTGTCATCATCATCATCAGTGTCATCATCAGCAGCAGTGTCATCATCATCATCAGCGGCCAGAGACATCGCCTGGGACTCCAGCGACAGCACCGACAGGATGCCTGCAAGCGGTATCATCATCAGCAGTGTCATCAGCAGTCAAATCATCATCATCATCAGCAGTGTCAGCAGCAGTGTCATCATCATCATCATCAGCAGTGTCATCATCATCAGCAATGGCATCATAATCATCATCAGCAGCAGTGTCATCATCATCATCAGCAGTGGCATCATCATCAGCGGCAGTGGCATCATCATCAGCGGCAGTGGCATCATCATCAACATCAGCAGCAGTGTCATCATCATCATCAGCGGCAGTGTAATCATCAGCAGTGTCATCATCAGCAGTGTCATCATCATCAGCAGCAGTGTCATCATCATCAGCAGTGGCATCATCATCATCATCAGCAGTGTCATCATCATCATCATCAGCAGTGGCATCATAATCAGCATCAGCAGCAGTGTCATCATCATCAGCAGTGGCATCATCATCAGCGGCAGTGGCATCATCATCAGCGGCAGTGTCATCATCATCATCATCATCAGCAGTGGCATCATAATCATCATCAGCAGCAGTGTCATCATCATCATCATCATCAGCAGTGGCATCATCATCAGCGGCAGTGGCATCAACATCAGCAGCAGTGTCATCATCATCATCAGCAGTGTCATTATCAGCAGCAGTGTCATCATCATCATCATCAGCAGTGTCATCATCAGCAGTGTCATCATCAGCAGTGTCATCATCATCATCAGCAGTGTCATCATCAGCAGCAGTGTCATCATCATCATCAGCGGCAGTGTCATCATCAGCAGTGTCATCATCATCATCAGCAGCAGCGTAATTATCAGGAGGTAGAGGAGGAGGTATTGGTAGTAGTGGTAGTGGTAGTAGTGGTAGTTGTGGTAGTGGTAGTAGTGGTAGTGGTAGTAGTGGTAGTTGTGGTAGTGGTAGTAGTAGTAGTTGTGGTAGTGGTAGTAGTGGTAGTGGTAGTAGTGGTAGTTGTGGTAGTGGTAGTAGTAGTAGTTGTGGTAGTGGTAGTTAGTGGTAGTGGTAGTAGTGGTAGTTGTGGTAGTGGTAGTAGTGGTAGTGGTAGTAGTGGTAGTTGTGGTAGTAGTATAGTGGTAGTGGTAGTAGTAGTGGTATAGTGGTAGTAGTGGTAGTGGTAGTAGTGGTAGTGTGTAGTGGTAGTTAGTGGTAGTAGGTAGTGGTAGTAGTGGTAGTTGTGGTAGTGGTAGTAGTGCTAGTGGTTGTGGTAGTAGTGGTAGTAGTGATAGTGGTATTAGTGGTAGTGGATTGTAGTAGTGGTAGTAGTAGTGGTATTAGTGATAGTGGTTGTGGTAGTAGTGGTAGTGATAGTAGTAGTAGTGGTTGTGGTAGTAGTGTAGGGTAGTGGTAGTATGGTGTGGTAGTAGTGGTAGTTGTGGTAGTGGTAGTAGTGGTAGTTGTGGTAGTGGTAGTAGTGGTAGTTGTGGTTGTGGTAGTAGTGGTTGTGGTAGTAGTAGCAGTAGTGGTTGTGGTAGTAGTGGTAGTAGTTGGTAGTAGTGGTAGTAGTGGTAGTGGTAGTAGTGGTAGTTGTGGTAGTGGTAGTAGTGGTAGTTGTGGTAGTGGTAGTAGTGGTAGTGGTAGTAGTGGTAGTTGTGGTAGTGGTAGTAGTGGTAGTAGTAGTGGTGGTAGTGGTAGTTGTGGTAGTGGTAGTAGTGGTAGTTGTGGTAGTGGTAGTAGTGGTAGTAGTAGTGGTAGTGTAGGAGGAGGTAGTGGTAGTAGTGGTAGTAGTGGTAGTGGTAGTTGTGGTGGTGGTAGTAGTGGTAGTTGTGGTAGTGGTAGTAGTGGTAGTTGTGGTAGTGGTAGTAGTGGTAGTGGTAGTAGTGGTAGTTGTGGTAGTGGTAGTAGTGGTAGTTGTAGTAGTGGTAGTGTAGTGGGTAGTGGTAGTAGTGGTAGTAGTAGTGGTAGTAGTGGTAGTTGTGGTAGTGGTAGTAGTGGTAGTGTGTGGTAGTGGTAGTAGTGGTAGTAGTAGTGGTAGTGGTAGGAGGTGGTAGTAGTAGTAGTAGGAGGAGGTAGTTGTGGAGGTAGTAGTGGTAGTGGTAGGAGGATGTCATAATGGAGGTAGTTGTGGTGAGAGTAGTGGAGGTAGTAGTAGTGGTAGTAGGAGGTAGGAGGTCGTAGTGGTAGTGGAGGTAGTAGTAGGAGGGAGTAGTCGTAGTGGTAGTAGTGGTAGTAGTAGTAGTGGTAGTAGTGGTAGTAGTGGTGGTAGTAGTAGTAGTGGTAGTAGTAGTAGTGGTAGTAGTGGTAGTAGTGGTAGTAGTAGTAGTGGTAGTAGTAGTGGTAGTAGTGGTAGTGGTAGTAGTGGTAGTAGTGGTAGTAGTGGTAGTGGTAGTAGTGGTAGTAGTGGAGGTAGTAGTAGTGGTAGTAGTGGTAGTGGTAGTAGTGGTAGTAGTGGTAGTAGTGGTAGTGGTAGTAGTGGTAGTAGTGGAGGTAGTAGTAGTGGTAGTAGTGGTAGTAGTAGTAGTAGGAGGAGTAGTGGAGGTAGTAGTAGTGGTAGTAGTGGTAGTGGTAGTAGTGGTAGTAGTGGTAGTAGTGGTAGTAGTGGTAGTGGTAGTAGTGGTAGTAGTGGTAGTAGTGGTAGTGGTAGTAGTGGTAGTAGGAGGAGTAGTGGAGGTAGTAGTAGTGGTAGTAGTGGTAGTGGTAGTAGTGGTAGTAGTGGTAGTAGTCGTAGTGGTGGTAGTGGTAGTAGTATTTGTAGTAGCGGTAGTAGTGGTAGTAGTGGAGGTAGTAGTAGTGGTAGTAGGAGGAGTAGTGGAGGTAGTAGTAGTGGTAGTAGTGGTAGTAGTGGTAGTAGTAGTGGTAGTAGTGGTAGTGGTAGTAGTGGTAGTATCTGTAGTAGTGGTAGTAGTGGTAGTAGTAGTGGTAGTAGTGGTAGTAGTAGTAGTGGTAGTAGTGGTAGTGGTAGTAGTGGTAGTAGTAGTGGTAGTAGTGGTAGTAGTAGTGGTAGTGGAGGTAGTAGTAGTGGTAGTGGTAGTAGTAGTAGTAGTGGTAGTGGAGGTAGTAGGAGGTAGTAGGAGGTGGTAGTGGTAGTGGTAGTAGGAGGTAGTAGTGGAGGTAGTAGTAGTAGTATGAGGCAGTGGTAGGCGGCATGAGTGTAGTAGTTGTAGTATGAGGTAGTAGTGGTAGTACGAGGTAGTGGTATGAGGTAGTGGTATGAGGTATGCGGTATGTGAATGTAGTGGTAGCTATGCGGTATGAGGTAGTGGTAGTATGAGGTATGCAGTAAGTGGTATGCGGTATGTGAGTGTAGTAGTGGTAGTGGTAGGCAGTGGTAGCTAGTGGTATGAGGTATGCAGCATGAGGTAGTGGGTATGCGGTATGTGAGTGTAGTGGTAGGCGGTAGTGGTATAAGGTAGTGTGTATGAGGTAGTGGTATGTGGTAAGTGGTATGCAGTATGTGAATGTAGTAGTGGTAGTGTGTATGAGGTAGTGGTATGCAGTATGTGGTATGCAGTATGTGAATGTAGTAGTGGTAGTGTGTATGAGGTAGTGGTATGCAGTATGCGGTATGTGAGTGTAGTAGTGGTAGTATGAGGTAGTAGGAGGTAGTATGAGGTAGTGGTGTGCGGTAGTGTGTAAGTGGTATGCAGTATGAGGTATGCGGTATGCAGTAAGTGGTATGCGGTATGTGAGTGTAGTAGTGGTAGTATAAGGTATGCAGTATGAGGTAAGCAGTATGTGAGTGTAGTGGTATAAGGTAGTGTGTAAGTGGTATGCGGTGTGAGGTATGTGGTGTGCGGTATGCGGTGTGAGGTATGTGAGTGTGAGGTAGTGGGTATGCAGTATGAGGTAAGCAGTATGTGAGTGTAGTGGTATAAGGTAGTGGTATGAGGTAGTGGTATGAGGTAGTGGTATGAGGTAGTGGTATGAGGTAGTGGTATGAGGTAGTGGTATGCAGTAAGTGGTATGCAGTAAGTAGTAGCGGTATGCGGTATGTGAATGTAGTAGTGGTAGTGTGTATGTGGTATGCGGTAAGTGGTATGAGGTAGTATGCGGTAGTAGTGGTATGCGGAGTGAGGTATGCGGTATGCAGTAAGTGGTATGCGGTAAGTGGTATGCGGTGTGCAGTAAGTGGTATGTGAGTGTAGTAGTGGTAGTATGAGGTAGTAGTGTGCGGTAGTGTGTAAGTGGTATGCGGTATGCGGTGTGAGGTATGAGGTAGTGTGTAAGCAGTAAGTGGTATGCGGTGTGAGGTATGCGGTATGCAGTAAGCGGTATGCGGTGTGAGGTATGAGGTAGTGTGTAAGCAGTAAGTGGTATGCGGTGTGCAGTAAGTGGTATGTGAGTGTAGTAGTGGTAGTATGAGGTAGTAGTGTGCGGTAGTGTGTAAGTGGTATGCGGTGTGAGGTATGCGGTATGCAGTAAGTGGTATGCGGTGTGAGGTATGCGGTATGCAGTAAGTGGTATGCAGTGTGCGTAGTGCTCTGACCCAGGGGTACGCGTGCCGCGCTAGCCTCGGGGTTGATCCAGAACGACAGCCATGACAGTACCACGGTGAGCAGCGTGGGGGCGTAGACCCCCATGATGTAGAACCCCACCTGTCTTCGCAGCGTGAAGATCACCTCCACACACGTGTAGTAGCCTACACAATCAACATCATCAACATCATCAACATCAACAACATCATCAACACCATCAACACCATCACCACCATCACCACCATCAACATCATCAACATCATCAACATCAGCAGCGTGGGGGCGTACACCCCCATGATGTAGAACCCCACCTGTCTTCGCAGCGTGAAGATCACCTCCACACACGTGTAGTAGCCTACACAATCACCACCATCATCAACATCATCACCATCAACATCACCATCAGCATCAACATCATCAACACCATCAACATCATCAACACTATCACCACCATCACCACCATGACCACCATCATCAACACCACCACCATCACCACCTTCACCACCATCGCCACCATCAACATCGTCACCATCGTCATCATCAGCAGCAGCAGCAGTGTGGTGCGTTGTGGCTGGGCTGTGTGATCTGCCGTCTTGGTGGCACGGCACGCGGCGTGTTGCCACGGTGTGTTGCCGTGGTGCGATGGCGGTGCGGTGATGGTGGTGCAGTGTTGGTGGTGGTGCGGTGTGGTGGTGGTGGTGATTGTAGTGATGGTGGTGATGGTTGTGATGGTGATGGTTGTGATAGTGGTGATGGTGGTGATGATGGCTGTGATGGTGGTGATGATGGTTGTGATGGTGGTGATGGTGGTGGTGGTGATGGTGGTGGTGGTGATGGTTGTGATGGTGGTGATGGTGGTGCGGTGGTGGTGGTGTTGCGATGGTGGTGCGGTGGTGGTGATGTAGTGGTGGTGGTGCGGTGTGGCGGTGGTGTGGTGGTGCGGTGGTGGTGTGGAGGTGGGTGTGGTGGTGGTGGTGCGGTGCAGCGGTGGTGGCGGTGGTGGTGGTACGGTGGTGGTGTGGTGGTGATGATGGTTGTGATGGTGGTGGTGGTGTGGTGGCAGTGCGGTGTGGTGGTGTTGCGATGGTGGTGCGGTGGTGGTGGTGCGGTGTGGCGGTGATAGTGGCGTGGTGATGGTGGTGTAGTGGTGTTGCGATGGTGGCGCAGTGGCGGTGCTGTGCCCACCGGTGCCCGGGTAGAACTTGGTGCAGTTCCCGTAGCGGATGTCGTCGTTGCTGATGTCGAACTGCGGCAGCGACATCTCGTCCATCTGCACCGGGTCGCCGGGCGCCCAGTTGAAGCGCAGGTCCTCCGTGGTGAAGCCGACTGCAGCCGGCAAGCAGCGGACAGAGAACGGCTCACGCCCTACCCCCAGGGGGACCTCCATCCCCGGGAGGTAACGACAGGGGAGTCAGCCTGCAGTGTGAGGGGACTAGTGACCACGTAATGACAGGGGAGTCAGCCTGCAGTGTGAGTGGACTGGTAGCCACGGGAGGTAGTGACAGGGGAGTCAGCCTGCAGTGCGAGTGGACTAGTGACCACAGGAGGTAATGACAGGGGAGTCAGCCTGCAGTGTGAGGGGACTAGTGGCCACGTAATGACAGGGGAGTCAGCCTGCAGTGCGAGTGGACTAGTGGCCACGGGAAGTAATGAATGGACTAGTGGCCACGGGAGGTAATGACAGGGGAGTCAGCCTGCAGTGTGAATGGACTAGTGGCCACGGGAAGTAATGAATGGACTAGTGGCCACGGGAGGTAATGACAGGGGAGTCAGCCTGCAGTGTGAATGGACTAGTGGCCACGGGAGGTAATGACAGGGGAGTCAGCCTGCAGTGTGAGGGGACTAGTGGCCACGGGAGGTAATGGATGGACTAGTGGCCACGGGAGGTAACGACAAGGGAGTCAGCCTGCAGTGTGAGTGGACTGGTGGCCACGGGAGGTAATGACAGGGGAGTCAGCCTGCAGTGCGAGTGGACTGGTGGCCACGGGAGGTAATGACAGGGGAGTCAGTCTGCAGTGTGAGTGGACTGGTGGCCACGGGAGGTAATGACAGGGGAGTCAGCCTGCAGTGTGAGTGGACTAGTGGCCACGGGAGGTAATGACAGGGGAGTCAGCCTGCAGTGTGAGTGGACTAGTGGCCACGGGAGGTAATGACAGGGGAGTCAGCCTGCAGTGCGAGTGGACTAGTGGCCACGGGAGGTAATGACAGGGGAGTCAGTCTGCAGTGTGAGTGGACTGGTGGCCACGGGAGGTAATGACAGGGGAGTCAGCCTGCAGTGTGAGTGGACTAGTGGCCACGGGATGTAATGACAGGGGAGTCAGCCTGCAGTGCGAGTGGACTGGTGGCCACGTGAGGTAATGACAGGGGAGTCAGCCTGCAGTGCGAGTGGACTAGTGGCCACGGGAGGTAATGACAGGGGAGTCAGCCTGCAGTGCGAGTGGACTGGTGGCCACGGGAGGTAATGACAGGGGAGTCAGCCTGCAGTGTGAGTGGACTGGTGGCCACGGGAGGTAATGACAGGGGAGTCAGCCTGCAGTGTGAGTGGACTGGTGGCCACGGGAGGTAATGACAGGGGAGTCAGCCTGCAGTGCGAGTGGACTAGTGGCCACGGGAGGTAATGACAGGGGAGTCAGCCTGCAGTGTGAGTGGACTGGTGGCCACGGGAGGTAATGACAGGGGAGTCAGTCTGCAGTGGGAGTGGACTAGTGGCCACGGGAGGTAATGACAGGGGAGTCAGCCTGCAGTGTGAGTGGACTAGTGGCCACGGGAGGTAATGACAGGGGAGTCAGCCTGCAGTGTGAGTGGACTAGTGGCCACGGGAGGTAATGACAGGGGAGTCAGCCTGCAGTGCGAGTGGACTGGTGGCCACGGGAGGTAATGACAGGGGAGTCAGCCTGCAGTGCGAGTGGACTAGTGGCCACGGGAGGTAGTGGCAGGGGAGTCAGCCTGCAGTGCGAGTGGACTGGTGGCCATGGGAGGTAATGACAGGGGAGTCAGCCTGCAGTGCTAGTGGACTAGTGGCCAAGACGTCATTACAGATCCGTGCGTTGTAGGTGAGTTGGTGGTGAGTTGGTGGTGAGTTGGTGGTGAGTTGGTGGTGAGTTGGTGCTGAGTTGGTGGTGGTGGCGCTGAGTTTGGTGGTGAGTTGGTGAGTTGTTGGTGAGTTGGTGGTGAGTTGGTGAGTTGTTGGTGAGTTGGTGGTGAGTTGGTGGCGAGTTGTTGGTGAGTCAGCGACTCACAGCTCTCCAGCTGCATCTTGCACATCTGCGTGTCCATTGGGAAGAGCGTGAGGTCCATGGGACAGGACAACGTGATGGAAAGTCTGCATAGAGCACAAAGACAAAGGTCCCCCGTGTAGCCCACACGGTGCTGTTGGGCAAAGGGAGTTGTGGCGAGCACCACGTCTGATCTCGAGTCTCTGATCCTGGTGATGGTGGTGATGGTGGTGGTGGTGGTGGTGGTGTTGGTGGTGGTGGTGATGGTGGTGATGATGATGATGGTGGTGATGATGATGATGATAATGACGGTGATGATGATGATGACGGTGGTGATGATGGTGATGATGATGATGATGATAATGCTGGTGGTGATGATCGTGGTAGTGATGATGATGATGACGGTGATGATGATGGTGATGATGACGGTGGTAATAATGATGATGGTGATGATGATGCTGATGGTGGTAATGGCCATGGAGTAGGAGGGAGGAAGGGAGGGAGGGACGGATGAGGGTGGAGGGGAGGGAGTGGAGGGGAGGGATGACAGTGGAGCGAGCGAGCGAGTGTAGTGTGAGCACCTCATACTGAGCAGCACGTCCCCGTTGCGGTAGATGAAGAGCAGCGTGTTGTCCTTGGTGACTGAGTGGAAGTTGGCCGTCTTCTCGTTGGCGAAGAACAGGTCGGGCCGCCAGAGGCAGCGCGACATCGTGGGGTCCACGGTCAGCGCCTCCGAGCCCTGGAAGTCGGCGGGCAGTCGCAGGCGCGGGTCGTTCCACTTCTGGCGGATGAAGATGTTGACGCGGTAGTCCTGGTGGCACGGAGAGGAGGGCGGGGAAGGGGGTGAGGGGGAGGGGAGAAGGGGGGAGGGGGGGGGTTGTTGGGGGAGAGTAGAGAGAGACCGGGAGAGAGAGGGGAGAGGGGGGGTAGAGTAGTGAGAGAGAGGGGAGGGAGGGGAGAGAGAGGGGGGGGGGTAGAGTAGGGGGAGAGAGGGGAGAGTAGCGGGTAGGGGGAGAGTGGGTAGAGTAGAGGGGAGAGAGGGGAGAGTAGCGGGTAGGGGGAGAGTGGGTAGAGTAGAGGGGAGAGTGGGTAGAGTAGAGGGTAGGGGAGAGTGGTAGAGTAGAGGGGAGAGTGGGGAGAGTAGAGGAGAGAGAGGGGAGAGTAGAGGGTAGGGGGAGAGTGGGTAGAGTAGAGGGGAGAGTGGGTAGAGTAGCGGGTAGGGGGAGAGTGGGTAGAGTAGAGGGGGAGAGTGGGTAGAGTAGGAGGGGAGAGAGGGGAGAGTAGAGGGGAGAGTGGTAGAGTAGAGGGTAGGGGGAGAGTGGGTAGAGTAGAGGGGAGAGAGGGGAGAGTAGCGGGTAGGGGAGAGTGGGTAGAGTAGAGGGGAGAGTGGGGGAGAGAGTAGAGGAAGAGAGGGGAGAGTAGAGGGTAGGGGGAGAGTGGGTAGAGTAGAGTGGAGAGAGGGGGAGAGTAGAGGGTAGGGGGAGAGTGGGTAGAGTAGAGGGTAGAGAGGGGAGAGTAGCGGGTAGGGGGAGAGTGGGTAGAGTAGAGGGGAGAGTGGTAGAGTAGCGGTAGGGGGAGGAGTGGGTAGAGTAGAGGGGAGAGTGGGGAGAGTTAGGAGGAGAGAGAGGGGAGAGTAGAGGTAGGGGGAGAGTGGGTAGAGTAGAGGTGGAGAGTGGGTAGAGTAGAGGAGAGAGAGGGTAGAGTAGAGGGTAGGGGGGAGAGTGGGTAGAGTAGAGGGGGAGAGTGGGTAGAGTAGAGGAGAGAGAGGGGAGAGTAGAGGGTAGGGGGAGAGTGGGTAGAGTAGAGGGGAGAGTGGGTAGAGTAGAGGGGAGAGAGGGGAGAGTAGAGGGTAGGGGGAGAGTGGGTAGAGGGGAGAGTGCAAAGAGAGAGGGGGGGGGTAGAGTAGGGGGAGAAAGTGGGGAGAGAGAGGGGAGAGCAGAGTTAGATAAGATGACGATGATGATGACGACGATGACAACAACGACGACGATGACAACGACGATGAAGGTGACGATGACAACGACAATGATGAGGATAACGACGATGACAACAACGACGATGACAACAACGACAATGAAGGTGACGATGACAACAACGACGATGACAACAACGACAATGAAGGTGACGATGACAACGACGATGATGACAATGATGAGGATAACGACGATGACAACAACGGTGATGACGATGACGACGACAACAACGATGATGAAGGTGACGATGATGACAATGACGATGACGATGATGACGACGATTATGACGATGATGATGACGATGATGATGATGATGATGACGATGACGATGATGATGACGATGATGATGACGATGATGATGATGATGATGACGAATGATGATGACGATGATGATGACGATGATGATGATGATGACGATGATGATGATGATGATGACGATGATGATGACGATGATGATGATGATGACGATGATGACGATGATGATGATGATGACGATGATGATGATGATGATGACGATGATGATGATGATGACGATGATGATGATGATGATGACGATCATGATGATGATGACGATGATGATGACGATGATGATGATGATGATGACGATGATGATGATGATGACGATGATGATGATGATGACGATGATGATGATGATGACGATGATGATGATGACGACGATGATGACGATGATGATGATGATGACGATGATGATGATGACGACGATGATGACGATCATGATGATGATGATGACGATGATGATGATGATGATGACGATGATGATGATGACGATGATGATGATGATGATGATGACGATGATGATGATGACGATGATGATGACGATGATGATGATGATGACGATGACGACGACGACAATGACGATGAGGATGACGACTATGGGCGTCCACCTCACCAAGGCGTCCACCTCACCATGGTGGTCTCCTGCACGGAGCCGAAGCTGTTGACGAAGATGTTGAGGTTCACGTTCACGGGGGACTCTGCACACGTCACTCACAGGTAGCCACGCCCCCCCCACCACGTGACTCACAGGTAGCCACGCCCCCCCCACCACGTGACTCACAGGTAGCCTCCCCCACGTCACTCAGTTAGCCACGCCCCCCACCACGTGACTCAGTTAGCCACGCCCCCCCACGTCACACAGTTAGCCACGCCCCCCCCCCCCCCCACGTCACTCACAGGTAGCCACGCCCCCCCCACCACGTGACTCGGTTAGCCACGCCCCCCCCACGGCACAGTCAGTCACGTGGGGCTCCACGTCACAGACAGTCACGTGGGGCTCCCCCCTCTGCCCCAAAGTTAAAATTGTTGGCGCACGGGAACTCAGTCTGAGACTCTCACTGTCCTAACCTTGGGGAAGTGGAGTGTACAACTCTGTCTGTGGGCAGGGGGGGGGCAGGGGGGGGCAGGGGGGGGCAGGGGGGGGGCAGGGGGGTGGGGGCAGGGGGGGGCAGGGGTAGGGGCAGGGGGGGGGCAGGGGGGGTGGGGGCAGGGGGGGGGGCAGGGGGGGGCAGGGGGTGGGGGCAGGGGGGGGGCAGGGGGGTGGGGGCAGGGGGGTGAGGGCAGGTGTGGGGGCAGGGGGGTGAGGGCAGGTGGGGGCAGGGGTGGGGGGCAGGGGGTGGGGGCAGGGGGGGGGGCAGGGTGGGGCAGGGTGGGGGCAGGGGGGTGGGAGCAGGGGGGGGGCAGGGGGGTGGGGCAGGGGGGTGGGGCAGGGGAGGTGGGCAGGGGGGTGAGCAGGGTGGGCAGGGGGGTGGGGCAGGGGGGTGGGGCAGGGGTAGGGGGCAGGGGGGTGGGGGCAGGGTGGGGCAGGGGGGTGGGGGCAGGGGGGTGGGGGGCAGGGGGTGGGGCAGGGGGGGTGGGGGCAGGGTTGGGGCAGGGGGGTGAGGGCAGGGTGGGGGCAGGGGGTAGGGGGCAGGGGTGTGGGGGGCAGGGTGGGGCAGGGTGGGGGCAGGGTGGGGGCAGGGTGGGGGCAGGGTGGGGCAGGGTGGGGCCAGGGTCGGTGGGGGCCAGGGTGGGGGCAGGGTGGGGCAGGGTGGGGCAGGGTGGGGCAGGGTGGGGCACAGGGTGGGGGCAGGGTGGGGGCAGGGTGGGGGCAGGGTGGGGGCAGGGTGGGGGGCAGGGTGGGGCAGGGTGGGGGGCAGGGTGGGGGCCAGGGTGGGGCAGGGTGGGGGCGGGTGGGGGCAGGTGGGGCAGGGGGTGGGGGGCAGGGTGGGGCAGGGTGGGGGCAGGGTGGGGGCAGGGTGGGGCAGGGTGGGGGCAGGGTGGGGGCAGGGTGGGGCAGGGTGGGGGCAGGGTGGGGGCAGGGTGGGGCAGGGTGGGGGGTGGGGGCAGGGGTGGGGCAGGGTGGGGCAGCGGGGTGAGGGCCTCACTCTTGAAGTTGGGGCGGATGCGAGGGTCGTATCGTGAGAGGATGCGGTTGAGGATGTTGCTGGTGGAGTTGCCCGACGCGAACTTGGCGAGCTCCTTGGGGCTGGCTTGGCTGACGTGGCCATCGGCAGATGCAGCAGCAGCAGCAGAAGCAACAGCAGAAGCAACATCATCAGCAGCAGCAGCATCATCAGCAGCAGCAGAAGCAACATCATCAGCAAAAGAAGCAGCATCGCCATCAGAAGCAGCAGCATCAGCAGCAGAAGCTGCAGCACAGAGAGAGAGATACACAGAGCGAGACGCAGAGAGAGACACACACAGAGACACACAGAGACACACAGAGACACATAGAGACACACAGAGACAAACAGAGACACACAAAGATAGAGACACACAGAGACACACAGAGACAGACACCCATAGCCAGGCCATTATGAACCCTTACAGAGAGAGACAACAACAACAACCGCCATTTGCCACCAAGACACAGTCCTTAACCTCCCCCACAGGAGTGGGGGACGATGCCAACCTCAGCCGCAAGCGATGATGAAATTCTCGCTTGCAACTTTCATCAGCTCGCTGAGACCATGTCACTAAGGGTTTGAATGGGGTCCTGTGTGTACACTCACCACCGGAGTGGAAGAATGGCAGGCGCATCTTACAGATGACTAGTCGATGGTCAGTTGACAGATCAGCTCCACGGTAGGTCCTGGTGTCAAGGACATGGGCCCGCATCCGCTGGTCCGTCACTATGTAGTCCAGTAGATGTTCTTGCTTGGACCCGGCATGTATCCATGATGTTGTGTGGATGCGCCGATGCCGGAAGAGCGTGTTGGTAATTACAAGCCCATGGGCTGCACAAAAATCTAGCAGCCTCCTAATGTTGTTATTGAGCTGATCTGGCCCATGCCTTCCAATGACTCCAGACCAGGTGCCAGCATCATGACCAACTCGGGCATTGAAGTCACTCATCAAGATGACTCTGTCCCGAGTGGCCACTTTAGCCAGCA